GCGACTGGTTCTTGTTTAGGAAGAAAGAGTTCTTGAACAAGAATGCGATCCTGAATGTGAAGTCGTCGGACCTCTGAATCTTGGTGTCTGAGCATGGACTGTACACGCTATTTGTGTTGGCTGCTCCCATATTCACCATAATCGACGCCATTGGCAGGAGGAGGAGGAGGAGCATCGCCGCCGCCATTGTTGCCGCCGGTGATTGCATTTTGCGTGGTGGTTATGTAGTGGGATGGATGGTATTTGGGCGACAGGTGGTGGTAGATGAACAACAGAAGCCAGCTAAGGAAATGTGGGGGTTTCACGGTGGTGAGATGAAAATTTGAGAGAGAACCGACATAGCTTTTCGTGTCGATTCCCATAGACGGTGCCAAATGTTGATGCACAAAATCGGCGAGGACTTTGGTACAACAGAAAGTGTCAAGTTTGTGACCTTCGCTAGGTTGCTCTGGTCATTAGTGTGGATAAGTATGTAAATGAATAGAGATAGGGAAGCAAATAACACAAGATGTATCGTGGTTCACCTCAAGTTGAGGCTACGTCCACACTGGTGTTGATTCTCTTTCACCATGTAAATGAATGTTGAATATACATGCATTACGGAGAGCCGCATGATTTTTAGAGACATCACACCATGCTTAATTTTAACGCAGTTACTATTTTCCCCTTGGCCTCACTCGGATCCCCAAGTCTACACACAGGAAACACACATGCATTTGAGACAAAAATCCAAGGGAGATGGGGATAAAAATTACCCGTGAATGTGTCGGAATCAGAGAGGGATGTGATCTGCGGTGTCATCTTTGCGGCTGCTGGTATTGCTGCTTGAGGGTGCTGGATTTCTGAGGTTCGAAGGCAGCAAGATGATGAAGGAGGACATCGCAGAAGTTTGGGGCTTGAGAGAGAAATGAGGAATGGGAGCACGGCGCTATGGTATTCTAAACAGCTTAAACAAGCTGGTTGGGACATTTTGGATTTGGGCTTGGTAATCACATGGGTTGTTTCATCTTTTGCTAGAATGAGCCACATCATGGCCCCCAATCATCTCAGGCTCAAATTTAAGCCACATTTGCTCCTAGTCCAGCCATGCAACAGCTTCATTTTCAAGCCTAGATAATATCTTTCTTTTTCTTTGGTTTTGTTGATCATTTTCACTTTTATAATTATATTGTTGTAGGCATAATTTACTGAACAATTATGGAAGTCAGAGAGAGAGAGAAGATGCGGCATAGAGTGAGAAGAGATAAATGTGTAATTGTGAGGTGTGTTCTATTCCACCCCGTTGTGCCTTTATTTATAGTAGTACGATAGATAAAATCCTTACCCTTTTAGGATTACAACTCTTAATAGGTAATCAACTCCTAATAGGAATATAAGAGATATCCTTAGATCTACTAGGATTTACACAATCACATTCCTAATGTAATAGGACTGCAACACCCCCCTTGAGTGTGTAAATACTCAAGTAAATGGCGCATCAGATCTTCAGTGATGAAGCAAGTACATTTGATGAAGTCGTCGGCACAATGAGCAAATGTGAGTCTCAAATCAACGAAAGAATGAACAAAAAACTAAAACTCACAAAATCTCGCTATGGTAAAACCCAAGGTGGGATAAAACTCATAGACTAAGGAGAAAAGTAAGAAGTTGCATTAAGTCAAAACTATACGTCTTTTGGATGCAAGTAGAAGAGCTCACAAAGGTATGATCAGCCTAGGATGGGTGCCTCGTTAAAACCTAGTTAGATAGCAAAAACCAGTGGGAAAAATGCTCCTAATTGTAGGGAAAAAGAGTACAATAAGATCAAGTGAGTATACTTCTGGATACTCCCCCTAAGTTTGACATAACTTCCAAATGAGAAATACAAGCATTGCATATGATAGTTAGGCATACCAATTCCTCGGACAAGTTTCTGGTATGTTGACTTCAACAGTGACATCGTGTAGAGGTCGGTAAGGTTGTCTGGGATCGGCTTGCATGAATTCAATCTCCTAATGCTTTGTTGATGTGATGTAGACGCAATATGTCTTGGTGTTGACTTCGTTGATGTATCATGGCTTGGTCGGGTTGATACATGCGACATAATCTTCATGGATCGTCGTTGGGACTCAACAATGGATGAAAACAAAAAAATATGCTCACAAGAACTCCTAACCATGTCTCACTTATGGCGTAGTGAAGTGAGGTGAGTCTTGGAATGATTCGAAGATTTCGCAACTAAGGTCATATTGTGGACCTCCAAGATATTGTGATATCTCTAATGGTAAAGACATAACCATTTGGGGGTTTTGCCTTGTATGGGTTTGATAAGTAACCAGCGTTAATATAACAAACAAGGCAAGTATCATTCCAATGATCAGAGGAATCAAATTCACTCGAGATGCGTTGGGAATAATTATACATTCATTTTAACTTCCTAGTGGTACATTCGTTACTTTGATCATATGGTCATAATTACTTTTTATTAGTAAGTAGAAAGTATGTTAGAGAAGTAAGTCGAAATTATCATTTTTCAAATCTTTATTGTTGATATTTGGCCGTTATACTGTTGATATTTATGTCATCACTATACAGACGATATGTTATTTATCTTTAATTCAACCAATTAAGAAATTGGAATATGATTTATTATCCTTAATTTTAGCCAGCTTCGCGATTTGTTGTATAAGCTAATGTGAATTTAGAAGAGAAAATTGTAGCATTAGTCTCTCAACTTGAACTCAATTGGAATAATAGTATCTCAACTAAAAATCCATAACCAACGTTCCCTTAACTCCTCAAAACGTGCACCTATGGTCATTTTCTTCAACTCCGTTAGAACTTCCTTCAAAATGAGTCACGTGGCACACATTGAGGCTAAATTGAGGGGCAAATATGAAATACCAAATAAGAAAAATTGTAGCAATTGTGGAGCCAAAAATAATCAAGAGGCGACATGTGGATTTTTGGATAAAAAGGACAAAATTACCTCGGGGCACACCAGGTTTCCTACGCGCGAGCAGCGGGCAAGCATCCCTCAACCAAGCCAAAAGTGCCCAAAATAGGTAACAAATTCAAAATTATTTCATCCATCCTCATCTTATATTTCCTACAAGGTATTTACTCCATAACCTTCAAAACATTCCATATAAATTGAGTTAATTGGCAATTAATGGATTTATTACCTAATTAATCCATTAATTGCCCAATAACTCACCCATTACACCCCAAAAAACACCCAAAGGCCAGCCACTCTCTCTCCCAAAGAGGGCCGGCCATGCTTTATAAATTGGACCCCATTTTCTCTAAGAAGGGAGGTTACATACTCTTGCAAAACTCCCAAAAACTCTCCAAACACTTTTCTCTCTAAATTCTAACTTTGGCATCGGAGGTTTGTCCTTCAACTTTAACCCAATTGTAGAAATGGTTCTTCCAATCTAACTCATTATGATGGAATTGTAACGGAGTTAACAAAAATGATCATAGCTACATGTTTTGATGATTTAAGGGACCAATGGTAATGGATTTTTAGTCAAGGGACCATTGCTCTAATTGGATTAAAGTTGAAGGATCAATGCTACAATTTTCTCAATTTAGAAAGAAAAAAAAAAACAGTTGATCCCTCTTATACTTTTCTTTGAAAATGAATTAGTTTGGAAAATGCACCGACTTCGTACAATGCGAAAAGGAGGAGGAACATGGTAGCATTTTTGCTCACTACCATAAACTATTGTGTATACTCATTATAGACCTAATCATCTTTCACGTAACTTTGGTTAATTTTTTTTAAAATTGAAAAAGTAACATTTAATATGAAAATGAACTAAAGTTAAGTAAAATGACACTTGTTAGATGATTAAGTGTATGATGAGTATACAACATAGTTTTTGATGATGAGCAAAAACACTCCCGGGCAACGTGCACGTTCCCAACTTTGAATTATTTGTTGGTGGGCGGAAAATTTACTTGAGATGGGTATGCTTTGCATTTGTCAAGCATAACTCTGTATCTAGTCCCTCCCAACTTTCAAAGTTAGAAAAGTATATGCTACTCGTCTTCTCTAAAACCTTTGACAAGCCAAGATCATTGCAACCACACATTAGGGGCATTCATACTCCAACGTAGACTCTCAATACTTCTTGGGAGCTGGGTGGTCACTTTCTCTCGTAGACAAAACCAAGGGGAAGATATGTAGATTGGGCCCAAGAAACAATCTGCTTCAGCTAAGTGACGACCATTTCCTTCGTGGTTTTTGAAATAACTGGACGACAGAATTTGTGTAAATGTGTTTATAAACAAGAGTAAACTACAAATCTCTCTCTGAACTTTGACCTAACTTTCGATTTACTCCCTAAACTTTTAAATTGGAAAATCAAGGACTTAAACTAATTTTATTGGTAAATTTCCCCCAACCGTTAGTTTTTCATTCATTCCATCTAAATTTCTGTTAAATGAAAACATGAGCACAACATGTGAAGGTAGTTTGGTCACTTCGTTCTTTAAAATAATTGAAAACCCTAGATTTCTAAAATGTTGACCCGTAAAAATCTGTGTGATTCTATAACTTTTGTGTCTGAAGATCTAGCGAAATGACTTTTTTGTTCTCAAAGGAAAGTCACGTGGTATGCACGTAGAATTAACGTTAATTTGAATGAAATCTATAAAAAAAACTAGCGGTAGGGGGAAAATTGGCAAAAAAGAAAATAGTTTAAGTCCTTAATTTTCCAATTTAAAAATTTAGGGGATAAATTAAACGTTAAATGAAAGTTCAGGAGGAAAATCAGCAGTTTACGTTTATAAACAAACAATAACCCATGTACACATATCGTTCCTTCCCCACCATCCTTACGATATGCCCTCCATCTTTACGATATGCCCTCTACTTCCAATTTTCCATCATTATTTTCGGATTATCTTAGCTTGCATTTCACAAAGGAGGTTAAATACAAGTTGTGCGATCCATACACCTCTTTTTACCTTCAACACACTCCTCTTAATTTCCGGTTATAGGAGCGAATGAATTGAAGATCAAAGTCTAAAAATTAATGGAGAAAAGTGTTGTTTACAAATTGGATTGAATATATAGTTTTGGGAGTTAGGAGACACTACAAGGAAAAACATCCTGGCAACGAAAAGTCTCACGAAACAATCATGTAAACCATTGTACCTACTCGGAGCTGAAACTTTATTCGACTACGGCCAATATTTCACTCTCTTTGCAGAACCAATGCCTCCCAAGTCCCATCTACTCCCAAATCCACCTGAATCCAAATTTTAAAGAAAATGTCAATTCATTGTGTAAGCATCAATATGCAGCCATTACATGGATCACAGTAGAACATTTCCACAACAGACTTCAGTTTACATGGAGTATATTCTGTCTCTACTCCGTTCCATATTTTACAGTCGGTCGTTATTGGCGTACACAGCAAGGTGTGGCGATTTTGTGTCAGCTGTTCTCATCACTAAAACTGTGCATGTTCAAGACCGGTCACAAGATAGGTTGTGACTGTATCACAGACCCTCTGGATTGAAATGGTTATCCATTAGACCTAGAAACTAAAGACACCTGAGCTTTACCTAGAAAACTAATGAAAGAAAGGTGGCCCGGCGACATAGGTGTGGAGGGGGAGAGGGAAATTGAAAACCACTAATAATGCTAGGACAGCCAGGATTAGGTTAACAGTGTCATGGAATAAAGTCACAGGAAAACCAAAAGATAAGCAGAATAACTCATACAAAATGGAGGAAGTCCATTCCTTAATGTTTCTTTTAGAATCTTAAGATCAGGACTGTGATAATTTTCAACATGAACTTATTCCATTTACCTCATATGCATTTATGTCCGAAAAAAGAACCTGCAAAATGAACAAGCATTTCCGTTATGATGACATGTTAAGAACATCTCCAATGGTTTGGCTAAAAGCCAAATATTTTAGCCCAGAAAATTTAGCTTTTAGCCTAGAAACAACTTTTCTGCTCCAACCATTATAGCCTAAAATTTTAGCCTAGGATCATTAAAGAATGAACTTAGGCTATTTTTTTGTTAAATTAATTTTTTTTAAATAAATATGTAGACTATCGTAAATTAATTTTATGAATATTTTAATCTAAACAAATTTAAATTCCGATAAATATTGAGTGGAGTCCACTCCGATTTCTAGGCTAAATTTTAGGGGGAATTTGGCATTGGTTTAGCATTTAGCATTTAGCCCAAATTTTCCCCTTGGGTTGGAGTGGGTTTGGGGGGAAATTTTGGGGGGTAATTTGGCTTTTAGCTCACCATTGGAGTTGGTCTAAGCATCTAACTCGCTACTTCGGGATAAAAGTTTAAAAAAGTTTTAAACAATAGACAACTTTAGTTGGTCAGAAACTTATTGCTTAGTTTAAAAAAGCAACACTAGTTCACACCAGAAAAGTGTGATCATTATTTGGGAACGTTTTAATTACTCACCTTCTTTCCAGCCTTCACTTCCCCAACGTCAGCACCAACAGAAAGAATCTGAGAATAACAATGCTTGTTCAATTATCCTGAGGTTCAACTTCTTACTTCAAAATAAAGAACTAGAACCATACAAAAAAGAAAGAGTAGGCACACTTCTCCCATAAGATAGCGTTCAAATTTAACAGCTGACTTGGGCAGCAAAACTCCTCCAGCTGATTTCTGTGGCATAGCGTTTTATCGTAAGCCAGTGTCCTCTCGCACACAAGGTATGTACATAACTACACATATTTTTTTCCATTTGATATAATAACAAAAAAGGAAAAGTAAACAATGAAGTCCGTTTTAAAACCAACTGCTTTCAAAGCAATGAAATGTCAGCAATTAACATGAAATCTGTTTGAGGTATTCTATGAGACAAACATGCTAAATGCTAACCAAAAAGTGAAGGAAAAAAAATCAGGCAATACATACCATTTTCATTTTGAAAGCATCTCATGCGAACTTGGCTTTTAAACCTGATCGAGTTCAAGATTGTTAGTATAGTTTGCACTTTGTAACCCTACTGAAGGTTTACTCCCGGTCGATATCAAGATCCTCGATCAAGTTCGACACCTATTATCAAACTACTTGAATTTGAACATCGAGGAGTCACACGTAAAAAAGAATACACTGAGCCCAAGTGTCACTAGTATGAATCAACCTAACACAATCCGACACAAATCCTGCCAGAATATAAAATTAAGACAGGGCTTAATTAGGAAATACCATTCCATAAAAAATTATTGCTTCACTGAAAAATCTTTTGATTAAAGTTAGAAAGAACTACGAGACTGCAATGAAGAATTATACTATAAATATGTCTTCAAGCCATGAAAACCCATTCAAAACTCTACTGCTATCGCACTGTATTCCCAATGAATTATAAAAAACCCTACGACCAGGTACCATTCCACTGTCAAGTTTCCTCCAATGGCACTCTTCCCATTTCCCAGGCCCTCATACAATAGCTTAACTTCATAGAAAATTTCTACATAGAACATACATAAGGATAACATACAATAACCATGATAACATGGGATCGATTATATCTACACTATATAACAAAATGTGTTATTGAATGCATCATGGTATAACATCACAACGATATGATAAGTTGGAGGATACCGTAGAGATGATATACAAATATAATCATCTTTTTATGATTTTTAGGGTGATCTTCACCACATAAAGATGAAATGAACTAACAAAACATACATATTTATATTTAAAGGAAATGATTCATTTATATACATTTCAAAGAAAAAAAAAAATCCAAATGGTCAGAAACTGTCGTAGGAATTATGCGATTGGTAGCAGCACATTAAGCCATTTGACAATGTTACGGATCTTCACAACTATCACAGTCCAAAAGCTCAAATGCTCAACTAAATAACCATTGCCACAGATATTTTGGATTCGGACTAATAAAAAATAATCGCATAAAGTTGCCACTCCATACTTTCAACCACAAACCAGAGGGAGCTCCTCGAGACGAATTAGCAGTGTGTCAGCTTGCGGAACCAACTGACACCCACAAATCACCACCACATAAATTAAAAACTCCGATAATGCAATTCGTCACCAAAATAAAATAAGACATCAAACATTAAAATGTGCAGAGCCCCGAAAAACCTTGGTGGGTTCCCATTTCGTGGCAATTGCGTTGACTCTCAATTGTTCCTTCGCAGACTTGAGCGAAACTCATTTCACAATTCATTAAAATTAACCACATTTCATAAAAAGATTAAAAAAAAAATGGTACAGAAATTTAAGAAAGATACAAGAAACAAAGAAAAGGGTTTGGAAGGGAGGTAAATTCAACACACCTGCGAGTAGCTTCTGGCTGTTGGACAGAGAAGCAGTGTTGGGTTTGGACGGCAAGGGGGTTGGTAGTGTGACGAAAGTGCAAGCCATGGCAGAGCTCTAACAAAGGTAAAGGGGTTTTAGAGGAGCTGCGGAGAGAGAGAGTGAAGAAATGTTGGGGTTGGAAGAAGTGGCGGAGATATATTAAACCCTGGTGCCTGGTGGTGTGAGATAAGGAGAGAGTCGCTGAACCGGCAGAGTTCTAGATGTTTCTTGAAGGTGAACCCGGATAGCGGGTTAGGAGTGCCATTAGAATTAAAAACACCAGCAAGACTTTTGTAGCATTCAAGGGACCGTCAGACGTATATGGTTTTATTTATGTTGTGCGGTTTCTCAGAATTTTTGTAATTTGAGAATGTCTGGTGAAGAATAATGACGTTGACATTATTAGAATTTCTTATCCTGATTGGTTTTTTCTAACGAGTTTTCTTGCTTTAGTTCCAAACAACTGCATCGAAACCTCAGTTCTATCCCGTCTTATCCCGTTCCGTCCGCGTATCAAACGGTACCATAACAACTGGTAATGGTTTCTGTATAACTTTGTGCAATTCAATTCATATCCCTTTATGTTATAGTGTTGAAAACACTATTGAGAGATTATACTTTAGTTTCTTTGCTCGTTGTAGATTTGCTACCTTTTTTCTTTCTTTTTTCCTTCATTTTTTTTTATTTTACTTTTTTCGTCTTTTCAGCTTTAGCTATTGTATCAAGAATGCTACTTTTTAGCTTAACTTCCAATTTGACCCCAAAAAAAGCTTAGTTGGCCTTAGCGAAAAAATAGAAATTAAGAAAAAACTTAGAGAACGATAGGCGTTATGCGTGTCCATAAAATAACGATAATGAGTATCTTGTTTTCCAGGTGCATGGTCAAGCAGTGGTTGATATACGTAACAATACTATTAAAACTATCACTGTAACCTTACATACGTAACAATTATGTTTTAATTGTATCCATTATACCAATAGGTTGCCGTTAAAGTTTCTTATTAATGCAAAAAGCATCTCATTGCTCGATCTCCAGTTCTATGCATATCATGTGCATGTATTGTACATATGAATTGCATGTGGTGTGCATATAGTGTATATGGTGGTGAATTCACAAGTGATGACGTCATTTTTCTGATTACGAAGAGAGAGATGTGAGCTCTGGGTTTTTGGGTTAGCTATGTATGTAAGGAACTTTCCAACACTAGGAACTTTTGCATCAGTGAAGCATCAGTGTACCAAATATCTGCTTAATTTTCCAAAATTTATAAGATTAAATAATTTAAATTCAACTGAGACATCAATGGTAGGATCTTCTCAAGTAAAATTGAGCATTCATTTTGTATTTTGTTTTATTTTAGTTTTGTGCATGTAATTATTCCCGAAACTCAGGCCTGGTTTGGTACTGAGGTGATTCTGAAAAAAGCTAGTATCAAAAAAAGCTAGAAGCTGTTTTTGCGTTTGGTAAACATTCAGCTTCAGCTTTTTTTCACAGTTTTGGGTGAAAAAAAGCCAAAAACAAGAAGCTGCAAAACCCAGCTTTGAAAAACTGGCTTTTTTTCACATCTGTTTTACATAAAAGTTTACCAAATACTATAATACTGCTTTTTTTTTTTTCAAAAGCACTTTTACAAAAAAGTTTACCAAACACTCTGCTGCTTTATTTCACAGCTGCTTATTCTCACAGCACAGCAGAAGCAGCTTTTTTTCAAAGCACAGCAATACCAAACCAGCCCTCAGTGAGTCGCCTGACCTTGCCATAGGCGAGTTTAGTAGTTTTGGTATTCATTTGGTGTAATCTGGCCGAGGTTTGTTGGATCTACTATTAAATGGTTCTTCGGGGTGATAAGGTGATTTAGAGCCGCGATGTCCTTCCCTATAGAGTCTACATAGAAGCATGGTGTTTTCATGTCCCACAATTAATTGGTTTTTAGAGTTTTGATCTATCATATGATCTTGTAGTACTGGATTCATTGGCCTCTACTCTGTGGTAGCTTCAGAATTTAAATCTTGGGAGTCTCAATGTTAAAGGTCCAAGATTTTTAGATAGAAAACATAGCTTGAAGTTGTAAACAAATTTCAGTTTATTCACGGAGACATTTCTGTGAACACTTGGTGGTCTTGTTCTCGTCAAGCGAACCATATTGCGCATATGTCAATGGATATTGACATTTGTCGAAACAATCTGATGAGTGTTGTTGAGAGCATTTGTCGAGTGTTGTCTACGCAACCTGCCGAATGCTACCAGGATATGCTAGCATGCATTAAATCAAACACTTAGTGGAACAAAAGGTCCTCGTAAAAAATATTCGGAGGGTCCTCGAAGACCAACCTTTACATGCTTATTTCCCGGGCTCTAGGTGTTTCTAGGACCACCTTTGTCCCATAGTGCATCCACCCTTGCTTCTATTTATCCTTCGCCTCTTTCAATTTCTTACAACATTTGGAACTATATGTTATAATTTCATTTTTTTTAGGAAAATACACAAAAATGACCCATTTTCTTAATCTTAGGATAGAAATAGGATAAACTAGCCATCCACAAGCCACGCACACCATGCACAAAATCAAAATTACTAAAATAACCACATATAAATACTAAAAACCCTTAACTCATTGCATCACTTTTCTCATTTGGAAGAGGGATGTTGAGAGAGCTCTGTGAGCTCTTGGTTTCTGGGTTGAGCTCAGATCTCTGAGTTTGGATTTCGCAGAGAGGGAAGTCCAAAGAGAGGTGAGAAGTCTGAGCTGGGTTTTGGGTCGACATCATACTTCTGATTTCGAACAAAGAGATGCGAAAGAGAGGTGAGAAGAGTGAGTTCGGGGTTTTCAGGTTTGAGCTAAGACCTGTGAGCTATGTGTGTTATTCAACCAAACACAAAAAATTCTTCCATCCTTAAAGATAGGATGCTCATCCCATATTTTCTGTTTTAACCGGAAAGTTCCATTTTTTTCGACGACTCTTCGGCAGGCATAGTAAGGTAAGGTGTTTAGTTCGAAGTTTCTACATCAATGATTTATGGAATAAACGGGTTGTTTGTAAGATGAATTAATAGTTAGAAGTTAAATTAGGGTTTGTGTTTCATGTTGGGGCCTATGGGTTGTGGAATAAACTTTACTTTTTGACATGCTATAAAACTGGGATGGAACAATTTATGGTTTGAGTGTTCAATGTAGAAATTTGTGAAAATTTTTCCATAATGTGCACGTGATGTGCATATGGTGTGCATGGCTACATCTTAATATGAGAAGCGAGAATGTTCACTAGTTATGATGCACGTATGTTGTGCCCCAAAATTTAGCGAGTATAACCGCAATCTAGTCGGCCTCGGCAAAAAATAAAATAAAATAAAATAAATCTTAGAGAACGTTAAGGGCCATGCGTGTCCATGAAATAATAACCATGAGTATCACGTTTTCCACGTGCACGGTTAAGCGATGGTTGGTATACGTGACAAGACTTTTCAAATTGCCACTGTAACCTTATATATGTAACAATTATGTTTTAATTATATCCACTATAACAATAGGTTGCCGTTAAAGTTTTTTATTAATGTGAAAAGTAGCTCGTTGCTCGATCTCCAGTTCTGTGCATATCTTGTGCATGTACTGTACATATGATGTGCATGTGGTGTGTATGTAGTGTATATGGTGGGGACGTCACAAGTGACGACATCATTTCTCTGATTTCGAAGAGAAAGATGTGAGCTCTGGGTTTTTGGGTTGGCTCAGATCTATTAGCATGTTATGTGCATGTCGTGTGCATATTGTGTGCATGTCACTGGAAAGAGATGATTTTTAATGGGATTTCCAAAATCTATGTTTGGGCCAAAGATTTGTATACAGATCTTTAAGGGCCTGTTTAGTACCCTATTTGAAAATTTTTATCATTTCTCAAAACATTTCTTGAAAACAATATTCTTTAAGATTCAAAAACTTGATTGGTTTGCAATTTAAAATTTTTAAATCTTAACACTTAAATTAGACAAAGAGATCTAAAAAGAGGGGGCCGTAAGAGAGAGAGAGAAAGAGGAGAAATAAGGAAAGAAAGTAAGAGATGATTGAAGGAAAGAGAAAGAAGAGAGAGGATCGAACGAGATAGAGAGGAAGAGGGGTGAAAGAAATAACCGAGAGAATGAAGAGAACGGATTAGATGAGAGACGAAAAAGGAGTGAGAGAAATATCTCTCCTAATGTGTTGATGGAGATGGGAGTATAGGAGTGCTTCTCCCCACCAATCCAAAGTTGGTTCGACTTCGTTCTCTCTTATACCGTATACGGCAGGTTGGACAAATTTTTTATTCTTTTGTATGGATAGTTAGGCACTTATGCCCCTTTGAAAAGCGAGACTAAGAATAGAGTACTCTAATAATGACTGTCATATAATCATGCCAATATATGGTGGCAAAGAGACAGTGTTAATTATTATTAAATAAATATTAAATTATGCGAGATTAACTTTTCAGTGAAAGTCACAATGTGCAAAGCATCCATCGTTAAATCTGAATGAGCGAACCAACAGTTTCGAAACCCCGCCTGCCCCTCTATAAAAAAGGATAAAAATACACCTAAACAGTGGGAAAGAAAAGCAAACCCCTAAAAAGGGGCACTATTATAAGTCGCATTTGATTTGATGAGCCCTTTTCTTTGAAAATTTCTGAAGCTTTTTACATAGTGGGGAAATTAGATTGTTGGTCGAATCTTGCTTGGACGTGTACTCCAAGCTTGTGCGTTTAAGCAACACTGGCAGGCCAGTGATACTAAACCGATGCGAAGCTATGTACGTAAGGAACTTTCCAACACTAGAAGAGACAATTAACAGTACTTGACCCAAGAAAATGAAGTCTAAGCCTCTACTTTCTCCATCCTTGAAAAATATCACCAATTGACCAAAAAGGAAAAAAAAATGAAAATATCATTATCAATGCGAAAGTTGGGGGTGTAGCTTCGGACTGACCAAGATGGAAAGTAACAGCCCCTGGACTTTTGCATCAGTGAAGCATCGGTGTACCAAATATCGGCTTAATTTTCCAAAATTTATAAGATTAAATAATTTAAATTCAACTG